AGTAGGATTTGTCAGCATAAATAATACCCTGTGTTATTGCAGTGTTATTTTCATCTCCAAGATACCAATATCTGATCACACCCCGTTTGTAACTGTGGGCTGATGCCTTTGTAGCCCTGTAAGTAAAAAACCTGCTCAAACCACGGGTAACCAAACAGCTGAGTAATCCTGTTGAAGCCAGTCCATGCACCCATTAACTGTGCAAACTAATCCTTAAAAAAATGATGGAAAGGGCGAAAAAGAAAACACCACGTTTTCCAAGCCAATGAAACTCCAGATGTGCTTAAAGTTAAATCCAGGAATAAATAAATAGTGCATGATCTGAAAGGCTGGATTTCGCAGCCACACTTTGTTGCTTACCCAGTGAAATTGTGAAATAAGGTGAACTTTTTTCAGCTTGCAAACCTCTGGTGCATTTCTGCCTTGACTATTTTTTTTTTCTTTGTGGCCATTTTGCAGTTTTCTGTGGATTTGTTTTGACTGTAAATAGGCACACACATTAGCTAAAGCCAGATAATTTTCTCCTGGCCAGCTTTGCCAGTAAATCACTGAGCTATGTAATTGGGTTTGTGTAAAATCATGCATTGTGAACTTGGGAATAGGTAAAACAGAAACAAGAAGTTGATTTTTGTAAATAATATAATTTTTTCACGCAAAACTTCTGTTTGAATCCGGTTATTTTTTTAGTTCCCTGTCATGATCCTTCTTTAAATGTTGAATGAAAATCAAGCTACAGGATAAATCCAAGCAAAACTGGTAATAATTTCTGGTTTGGCTCGTAGGTGGAGTTGAATACAATGTGATTAACTACAAGCAATATGTTGTGAAGATGATGGTATTCAGACACATACCCAAACAATTTGATTCAGATAAATTGGATACAAGACTTTGACCAGCACGAGAAGAACAGGTGAGAACCCTTGAGACTGAAGCAGAAATAATCAGTATTTTGATGGTCAGGAAAAATATTGCTCCAGTAACACAATGGATCCATTAGAAACTCAAAATACTAATTACAATCTGCCTAAAGACTTATTATAAATGAAGTGGAGATAGAAACATGTTTATATTATGGGGAGGCTTATTTGCAGATAAGCAGGAAACCAGTCACACATCTTCACAAACATAATTTTAGCTGTTTTAATTAGCAGGTTTGCTTTGATTTAATTTAATTCAGCGACTCCTTCTATCTTTACTGACACATGTGCAAATCAAATGTGCTGCCCTGACTCCTGACACCCCGTTTCCTTTCTCATTTCTGCTGCTGTTGTTGTTGATTCTGGTGGTTGGTGGTGCAGTGAGGGGTCGGCCCTTCCCACCAGCGTGGCCAGCAGATGCAGGGGGGGACACAACTGCACCTTTCAGGGGGTTTTCTGCACCCCAGAACCAGTGATTCCTCAGGTACTGGAAGCCAGGCTGTCAAAGGCCAGCACAAGCCCCAGTAGCCTCCAGTTTCCAATTCTATTAAGGGTTGAAATGACAAAAATAGGATTTTTTTGAGTAGTTGTGGTAAAAGTGAAGCGAGTTTTGTGGTTTTTTTGCTGTAGAACAGACCCTACAAAGAAGCCCCACGTGTGCCTTTAGCAACTTACTGCAGTGTGTGCATCAACTTGGGGTTGATAAACAAGCTTTAAAGCTGTCAGAATTCATCTATTTAATGTTTGGAGATTTGGTGGTTTTATTTAACAGGGAGAGTAGTTATTGACAGAATAAGAACACATAGTCCAGGATCAAATCACAACATTAATATACTGACAAAAACCCCCAATCTCTGTTGACTTTGCTGAGCTTTTTGTTGGTCTGAGGGCTTGGAACTGTTTTTTCTTCTTTATGTGACAAAAACAATTGGTAACACGCCAGGTGTTGTTCTCCCTTCCCTCTCCACCCCTCCCTCTGCAGTGTCTCACAGCTGTATGAGAGGTAATTAAAACAATCACTGAAATGTTTCAAAGCTGTTGTAGCCTTTAGTTGACTTTTAAAATTCCTATTTGAAGAAGAATGGTAAAATTAATTTGTATCCAGCTCAGCAAAGCGCTCTTTACTTGAGCAACGGACTTTACAACGTTGCCAACAAAAAGGATGAAATTAATATTATTCTTGCCTTTATCTGGGGTTGTTCTGTTAACTGTTTTATACTAGAAATTAATTTCAATATCATACAGATGCCTACAAGTCATGAATGCAGCAGTTCTAGCATTCAGTCACACAGCTCTCCTAGTTCATCATCGTGGGTAAAAATAAGAATTCAACAGGAATAAACTTGCCAGGACAATTAAATGATTCTGCCTCTAGATAATGGAAGGACAAAGTTTATATTCTTGGACTGTAAAATATGGAAGAGTGAAAAGTGCTGTTAAAGAAGTATTATGTGGTTGTTTTGAAAAGAATGGTAATTTTACAAGTTTGTCTTTCTGCTGAGAAAAAAATCCTTTGGAGCCTGGGAAGCAGACTTTGGGATTGGCATATTTTTGATGTGGAAATGCTCTGCTGTTTTTCTCCTCTATTTTTTGTGTTTCAGTTCCCTCCTTCAGCAGGGCTTTGGAAACCTTGTAATTCATCCCTTACCCAATGCTTGGTCTATGGGACAGGATTTTATCCTTACAATAAGCTTCCTTGTAACATATTCTATTTGATGCTTAAAACCCCTTAATCTTTACAAATAAGTGTGTTATGTCAGTGCAAAGGTGATCCTTCTCTCCCTTTTTACCCTTCTCTCCTTTTCTGATTTTTCCCTCTTTGGGGGTTGGCACCTCCCTGGCATGGGCAGAGTGGGGGCAATGAAGGAAAAGTTGAGGAATTTTCAGGATGAATGGAATTGGTTCAGGCTTTGAAATGACTAATTAAAAAAAAAATGAAAAAGCCTTGTAGGGTGGAAGGTTTTGCATATCCCTTGTTGGTGTGTGGGGAACCCTTGCCTGGTATATAAGTCAATATGTGGATAAAGCAAGTTTTTACATTTTTCCTTATGAAAATCAGAGAGATACCAGGGAACAGGGTGCAAACCAAAAATATCAATACCAATAAATACAAATAAGGACTTTTCCCCATCAAATTTAAAATATATGGCTGTTTGTGCAAATATTTCCTATTGATTAATGACAGCATAACCTCTTCCTCTTTTTTTTTTGCTCCTTTGTGAACATTTCTAACTCCTTTATGAATGTTTCTAAACCCTCCCTGGATGTTTCTAAACCCTCTCTGGATGTTTCCAACCCCACACAAGTATTGCAAACAAATTTACAAACAGGGATAAAACCACGACTTAAATCCTCGTCTGCCTCTTTGCATCAACACAACTCAACCTGACAGTGGATTTTTGCCAGGTGGAACAAAGAGCAATAAATTAGTTTTGAACATTTATGATCTTGCATTATAAAGACTCCAACAGGCTGTGTTCAAAATCAATTGTCAGTGTGATGGGGGATTAATAACTGTGGGACTGTAACCTTTTCTGTATCCGCAGCCTGGGGAAGGGCACGTCTCAAGATCTGCTGCCATATTTCATTATTGCCACCTCTATTTGAAAGACCTTTTTGATGCTTAAAAAAAAAAGAGAAACAGATTAGTTTTTAGTAGTGCTGGATGAATAACTCATAATTAATAATTCATTCCGCGAATTTTCGCCTTTTATTCCGTAGGAAGAATGAAAAAAAAAAAAAAATGGTTGTCAAAATTTTTCTGTTGACTGGTTGGGGTTTTGGGGTTTTTTTAATCGAAAGTAGGAATCAGAATTCAGGGTGTGTTATGTATTTGTGATTGATCAGTCATGTGGTATTGGTTTAATTCCCCAATTAATTGAGGACAAATACCAGCATAAATTCCATGATTAAATATTTGAGGAGAGCGTATTTAAAAAGCCCTTGCCACACGCAAGCCAGGCTTAAAATCAGTTTTTGAAAGGCCTCTTGGAAAGTAAAATCCTGAGTGCACGAAATTGGTTGGGAAGGAAATGCAAACGAGGCAGGAATGTGGCCAAGCCAAGTTCATTACAAGACACAAACGAGTTTCTGAGACTTCTACAGCATTTTCCAGCTGGAATTTTCCCTTCTTAGCTCCAGCAGCCACTTTAGGAGATAACCAGTAAATATTGGGGGTAAATATGGGAGCAAGGGAAATGAGAGGTTTATTGAGTTTCCTGACCTCCCCAGCTACTGTGCTGTGTTTTATGATAGTGAAATGTTTTATAACATTTTATAAATGTTTTATAAATGTTCATAATGTGCTGAAGCCTCCTGAAGAACTGGCATCCTTTGGCTTTCTTTGCATCCCGCCCATGCCAGGCTGCCTGGCCTAAGAGGCATCTCTGACTTCTCCCGCATTTTTTTCATAGATCCACTTTATTTTTCTTCCTAAATAGAGATAAACCAGTTAAATATTTCCCAACAAAATAACACGTGTAATCTCCAGGGCCGTGCATACCATCAAACTGTCATTTCCTTCGATTAACCTCCACCTGACCTCCCTCCCCCAGGCGCTTTCCGAGCCTTTTGTTCCCCCTTTTCAGCTCTGAGCTCTGTCAGGTGAGGGCATCTGTCACTCAGGAGCTGGACACTTCACTGGAGAACTCAGTGGAGATGCTGGCATGGAAAACTGGGCAGGATGTCCTGGATTAGACAACCCAGAGCTGGATGTGTCTAGAAATGCAGAGGGAGCAGAGCTTGGGCAAGCACGGTTGAAAGGAGCTCAGTTTTAAGAGTCTATTAATTGTGTTATGAATATTATGAAATATTTAAGACCAGAAAGGGTTCATGACTGAGACCTGCAGGACTTTTGTTGTGTAACTCCTTCATGTTCTCAGGAAGAATTCTGAGGAGAATAAAATTCCTACCAGGAGAGGATCAGAGTTAACAAATCACCTCCTTACAGTTTGGAAATTGCCAGGGGAATTTATTTTGTCATTTTGAAACCCAGCAGGTCTGTGTTTAACCTCAACATTTTTTTGTGGACAGATAGCAAAAAAATGGAAATTAGGGAGACCAGCAGAAATAAAACTTATCAAAATGATTCATGCCTATTAAAAGTATAGTTGATCTTAACTAAACTTTTTATGGATGGCAGTTTGAGCTGCCTGGGACCTTTTATTTATTTATTTATTTATTTAATCCTGAAAATTCATTTAGGGTGAATAATACGGAACTGAGATGTGAATCCAGACAGATCATCAAACACTGGGCTGCCAGCAGTGAGGAGCAAACATGGAATCCATAACTTCTGCTTATGGAATAGAATGTGCTTGGGAATGATAACAAAGGCCACGTGTGATGAAGTGTCTCTTCTTCCCAACGTGAGCTGGCTCATGGTGGTTCCTGAGGGCTGAAACTCTGCCCCTGGGTTCTAGTCCTAATTTCACTGTTCAATCTCACACCTTCTGCTGACAGATTAAAAATGTGCCATCAGAAGCCTCAGCATCACATCAGTTCCTCTGGATGAGGATGGACTCACCCCTTAAATCAGTCTCTGATGAAGCAAATAGGTCAGAATTCCTCATCATTTCATCACCAGGCACAATTTATAGATCTCCTATGATTTTTCTAATTAGAATCATAGAAACATTTAGGTTGAAAGAGACCTTTAAGATCATTAAGTCTGTTTTTTGACCTATCCCAGTTTGTCCTTTTTTAAATTATCCCACTAAAGTTTGAAGAACAGAGTCTATATATGCAGCATTCCATGATTTCTACTCAACCCCCAAGATCATGAGACTTGTTGAAAAATAGTGAGTTTTAAAATAAGAAAGAACTGCACTTTAGTATTTTTGTGCAAATATTGAAGGATGGATCTATTCATTCTTCCAAGAGTTTATAATTTATTTTTTAAGTTTAAATTTGTGCTGGCTTTCCCCCCCCATTCCAGTGGGCATGTTACATTTATAAATCACGTGGAAGCAGATATTCCAGATGCAGAGAGATGTTGGAACTGATGGGACTGTTAATTCTGTACCAGCCAACAGGAGCAAGGCCCTGAAAAAACAGAACAAAAATATAATGATATGATTTTACAGGGTTGTAAAAAATCCCAGATTTGGAGAAAATGTGACCTATTATCATCCCTGTTAAGGTTTTTGCAAACAATTCTCTAGAAAAATCAGCATTTTCTGTGAAATCCTCCCCAAACCCAACCTGCTCTGCAGTGAGGGATGTACTCACCTGGTGTAGCGAAGAATTTAAAGGGAAGAACAAAAAGAAGCTGGAATTGCCTCAGGGATTGAGGTCAGGTGAAGGTTAATCAAAGGAAATGACAGTAAAATGGCATTCAGAGCTCTGGGTACGTTTTTAATCATTCCTCTCTCTCTGGCTCATAAAAGACACGAAAGATGTCCAACTTTTTGCCATTGTGTTTAGTTAGGGATGGCTTTTATTTTTGTCTTGATTGTTTTAAAATATCCTTTCTTTTCAATTTCTCTTGTAGTTTTAGCTCCTGAAAACTTGCTTTGCAGTGCCTTAAAAATGTGTGTGGGAAAGAGGGAATGTGTGTGTGGGGGGAAGAAGAATGTTAAGAAAAGGGAGTAATTTTCCCCAGAATATCTCTCCTTTTAACTTCTCCTTCTGAAGTGACGGATTTTGAAGGATTTCTAGAAGTCATGAGTTTAGGGAATAAATATTCAGAAAAGCTAAATATTCCCATTATTACTCAAGTGTCAGGTTAAATGAAGTCCACGATTGCAACTACTGGAAACAAGAACAGGTTTTTTCACACTCTGTTAATTGACAAGTTATTATTCTGTTTTTAAGTATAGATGGTTTGTATATTTTTTTAAAAAAATATTAGAATAATCTTCGTGATTCCAATGAAATTTTGGAGTCGTGTCTTAATTTGCAGACTGTTGGTTATGTTCTGATTTTCTTTATGTGAAAAGGTCCTGACTGGGAACTTTTCCAAGTTTGGAGTTGTCACTTTGTGCCATTCACCTCAGATAACTTTGCCATAACTACAACAGGAACAGGAGCAACTTTATGTAACTTATAACAGCCTAAGGCAACTTTTAAAAAATGTCAGCAATGC